TTGATTGGAGCATGAAAAGTGGGCGTGTCCAACCAGATTGGAGTCACGCCATATGAGGAGAGGATTTGAAAAATAAGAGGGGCTAAAGGTATAGTTCAGTCAAAAATGAAAATGCTATCATTAATTATTCACCCTCATGTCTTCCAAACCTGTAAGACCTTCGTTCATCATCAGAACAAATTAATACATCTTTGATGAAATCCGAAAGCTCTCTGACCCTCCACAGACAGCAATGGAACTGCCATTTTCAAAGCCCAGAAATGTAGTAAGGACATGAGAATACTTTTTGTGCGCAAAGAAAACAAAAATAACGACTTTGTTCAACAATTTCTTCTCTTCCGGTCAGTCTCTGCCGCCATTCACGAGAGTACCACGACGCATGAAAATATGTCTTTCCATGACGTTTTAAGACTTTACCAGTCCTTGAAATCACAATTGAAATTGCCTGATATTCACAGGTTCTTCATGACCAAAGTGAATCTAAGGCTAGGAAATGTCCTATCTCTATTTCAGGATATTGTTATTGTCAGTAAGTGTTTGGCACCTCAGGATCAATGTGTAAGTGTAATGTATTCTTGGCACATTGTCATGACGACCAGCTACACATTAAAGCCCTTAATCTCTAAGCTCATTAAAAATGAGAGTAGCCGTTCTGCAGCCCCTCACCGGAGTCCAAGCTGAACCCGGTCTAATGCTCAGTGTTGCTGCTGTAGGTAATGCGGTTGCAGGTGCGGCGCTCATGAATCCTCTGTGGTCTCTGCGCCAAACCTGCAATGAAACGCATTCAGTCGCATTCTTTATGCAACAGACCCCCCTCCACCCGAAGTGCCTCCGGCCGAATCACGGGCAGCAGGGAGGGGCTGAACTGCGCTTTCTGAAATTGCCCTGTGGAGAATAAATGGGCATGTTTGAGAAGTCAGTGCAACACCTTTTTATTGCAGCCCAATCCCACCCTCCACCTCCCCCACCCGCAGCGCTCAGGGAACCGTTGCCATGGCGATCCGGTATTCCGACTAATGTATGGATGTGGAAGAGGAATTCCTGGAGACAGTGAGGAGCTCAGAGGAGCTCTTGTGCTACAGCTCTCTTACAAACCAGTCTGAGCTCAGATCTCTCCTCTCTCTGAACTTACAAAACACTGCCAGAGTATCAATGTTCTCTGGAGGAACACCACATGGCACTTTAAAGAATTCAGTTCAACAAATTAATTCTAGAATTTTATACATCATATACCATTTATATATATATTTTAAAATGTATATATATATATATATATATATATATATATATATATATAGTACATTTATATAATTTACATATTTTACATTGATAAGATAAAAAAAAAATACAGCACCATTGTATTACTATACTATCTGTTAATAACACTGTATCTATATCTATATATTGTATATCTATAGGTAGTACACCTTGGGAGCAAGTGATTTTACCATGGTAAATGGATGTTATTGGGTTCTTACGCAATGTGGATTGTCTTTACATCTTTAACCATGATTTAAAAAAAAAAATCACTGTACTGCACAACATTAATTGGTTTAATGCTGTTGCCAGATTTATTATGGTGAACTAAAACTAAAACCATACCATTTTTTAGTCGAAGTCCTAAAATAAATAAAACTAAACAAATTGAACCTTGAAACGAAAACTTGATATTGATAATAAAATTGTATTTACATATTTTAAAAAACTACTTTTAACTAATTTAAAAATACTCATGTTTACTAAAATTAAAATTAAAATTAATTTATAAGTCAAGTCACCTTTATTTGTATAGCGCTTCATACAATACTGATTGTGTCAAAGCAGCTTTAGTTTCAAAAAAAAAAAGTATTGACAAAAACCATAATAGTATATTAATGATACTAAAATGACACTGCAGTGTATTATAAAAACTACAAATGTTCATTAATTAAACCATTTACTGTATGAACTGTTCCATCCATGTAATTTAGCACCTTGGCCTATCTATAGACTACTGTAATGCTTTCTAGCAAATTAATATAACAATAAAGAAAAAATATTCAAAACTCAATGAACAATGTAGAATTAAACTGTGCAACTGGTCATTATAAAACTGATTTTGACTCTAAAGCCTAGTTTGAAGCTCTTGGTGGAAGTATGGAGTACCACAAGGCTCAGTACTACTACCATTGCTTTTCATGCTTTACGTGCTAATCATCAGGAAACATGGTGTTAGATTTCACTGTAATGCTGATGATACTCAGCTCTATATTTCTTCACGGCCCGACGAAATATACCAATTCGCAAAACTAACAGAATGCATAGCTGATATAAAAAACTGGATGACTAGTATTTTCCTACTGTTAAATTCTGAAAAAACATTCTGAAAAATCGTCTGCATGTAATCTAGAACACTATCTAACACTTGATGGCTGTGCTGACAGTTCTTCGTCATCATTTAGGAATCTGGGTGTGCTATTTGATAGCAGTCTTTCCTTTGAAAGTCATGTTTCTAGCATTTGTAAAACCGCATTTTTCCATCTTAAAAACATATCTAAATTACGACCTATGCTCTCAATGTCAAATGCAGAAACGTTAAATGACACTGCAGTGTATTATAAAAACTACAAATGTTCATTAATTAAACCATTTATTGTATGAACTGTTCCATCCATGTAATTTAGCTCATTGGCCTATCTATAGACTACTGTAATGCTTTCTAGCAAATTAATATAACAATAAAGAAAAAATATTCAAAACTCAATGAACAATGTAGAATTAAACTGATGTGCAACTGGTCATTATAAAACTGATTTTGACTCTAAAGCCTAGTTTGAAGCTCTTGGTGGAAGTTTATCGGGGTTTTTTTTATTTTTTATTATATTGCTAATCTGTTTTGCATAATGCATGCTTTTACTTGTAAAACTGTAACACACAGACTTGCTTTATTTTACAGTGTTCAAACGAGGCTCATCCAATGAGATTTTAGATCTGTTTCATAAGGAGTCTGTAAGTGTTTAAAACGTGATGAGCTCCCGCTCGAGCATTAGTTCAGCAGATCTGCGGCCGCTGGCTACATCAAGCTATTAAATATTAATAGAGCATCTAAAGCGTTCTCTAGGTAAAACACACAGGATCGGGTTCTACGATGAATAATGGAATGCAATCATCGTAGATTACTGACGGACCTTTCAAACAGATGGCGTCAAAGACTAGAAGCAGCACAGTTTAGTCCCAGTGTTTACATTTTAATAGATGATTTCAGGTCCATTTCTGTTCACAAATACATTTGATTGATTACACGGACAGAAATGAAATGTTAAAAGTGCAAATGCGGACAAACGGCGTATATAATAGGTGACGGCTTGTCATGAGGTTAAGAAACGTTCCCAGCACACAATGACGTGTTTTTCACCAACAAACATGTCAGTGGATTCACACAACACAATTCAACAAGCGACTTGATTGTCAATGGTGATGCAAACCAATTAAAACACGGATCAAACTTCAACATACACAGAAATTAAGAATTTTCTGCCATATTGTCACAAATAACCGACGCACACATATACACACAAATGAACTATAGCTTCTGTAATCTATTGTTTCTATACAGCTAAAATAATCTCTTATCTTTGAGTAACATTAAAGGAAAATTATTCATAAGACCAAAGCTTTTGTCTCTAATGTGTAGAGCTAATTTGAATCTATTCACTGGTTATGAGAAAAAATCAGCGAAACTATGACAGCATATGAAGAACAGCAACTATACAGCAAATCTGTCTAATGAAGATAATACTCGCAAGCCCCTATTTTGAGTCCACTATGAAATTACAGCTTCAGTGTTTTTAAAAACACATGCAGAATGACACCAGATATTCCGTTAAGTCAGTAAACTACATCGTCTTTTTGGGTTGAAGATCCCTGTTAGGAGTAAAACAAAAAAACGACATCTGAGTGAATCTCACGAAAACACACCCAGCTCACAATTCACCACAAACATCAAAACCATCTTTTACATAAAGAAAATAAAGCCTATTTTCAGGAGCATTAAAATACTCAGCATTATTTTTTTTTATTTGTATTATTTGCATTATTCTTGCCAAGCAAACGTTTCCCCCCAAAATTCTCATTACTGTAATGCATGTAAATGCTCAGTGTTTTAGTTATTTTGTCATTTTCATTACTCTGTGTAATACAGTTGTTTTTGCTGCATTATATTAATTACATAGAAAAACTGTTTAAAATGCACAATGTGCACACTGCCAAAAAAAACATTTTTTTTAATTCTCATACTTTCAATCAGGATTCATAGTGTAACAGTATTTATTGTTGTTGTATTATACTGAAAAAATGCTGTATTTTTTCTTAATTTTAGTAAACACAAATTAAAGGCAGTACAACAAATACCATCATAATGTAAACATATTAGTGACATTTTGCATTACATTAATGTGAAATAGTTTTAAAATGTGCTATGTACGTCACAATGCCAAAAAAAAAAAAAAAAAAAACTGAATCTCGACTTTGAGCCATATATTGCATTAAGATGCTTTAAGATATTTTTCATTATTTTTTTATTAGTATTATTTGCATTATTCTTGCCAAGCAACTATCTTCCCACAATTCTAATTACTAATGTATTCAGACGGTGTACTAATTTTCTGTATTGTTCATTACAGTATTTTTTATTGTATTATAATAAAAATAATGCTGGAATTTTTATACCAACATGATGTATAAATATCAATTAGTGACATTTTGCATTACATTAATGTGACATTTTTTAGGAACGTTGCATTTGCCATTATTTTTATTTGTATTATTAGCATTATTCTAGTCAAGCAAGCAGTTTTACTGTAATGCATTTAGACTTATGTAAATTTTTTGTAATACAGTCATTTTTGCTGTATTATAGTAAATAAAATGCTGTAGTTTTTCTTTATTTAAATCAACAAATTAAAGGCAGTACAACAAATACCACCATGATGTATAAATACTAAGTAGCGACATTTATGCTTAAAATAAGAAATTGTCACAATGCAAAAAATCTAACAGTCCTAAAAATAGACAATTTTCTTGCAAAACTATAATAATCATACTTGACAGCTTTCATGAGATTCACCCATTCAGTGCCGAACACGACGAGATACAACATACAAACACTGATGTATTGCATAACACAGGTCATTTGCTGACGGCACGTAATCTACAGTGCAATCTGTGCCGTAGTCTTAGAAATGGCTTCCTGGGTGACGCAACTAAACCCCGAGATTCAAGTAGAGTTAAAGGATGTATTTCTACGCATGGAATGTCAAAATTCACACACAAACGGTCATGGCAGATGCCTTAAAGGGAGATCAGAGGACAAACATGCAGCGTTTGGACTACAGCGGATCACTAGAGAGGCCCTGAGGCAGCCGGACAGGAAGTGACACGCCTGGACGCCGCCATCAGGGCCAATCAGAGCAGGTGACTTATTCCGATCTATAAAGTGCTCGTCATAAAGGATTGTAATAGACTGATAATGACCGTTGATCTCAATGAAGAGACATCGGTCCGGTCTCAGTATGGGATCTGGTTCTGGTAGTATTGCAGCATATCGTAGGTTTTGCTCCTGTATCAGAGAAACACAGAGTTTCACCATAAACGTTCACAATAACACACTTTCTTTGAATATTATGTGACAAGGTGATGTCTGTTACCTGCTACTGAGGAAGCAGCGCTCGATGACTTTAATCATGAAGGCCGCGGCTTCCTTCTCACTCATGTTGGGGTTGAACCTTTGCCTGCCGAATACAATACAGCAGGGTTATTGTCGACAACTAAAACTATTAAAAACATTTTTATTAATTACTGAAATAAAATATAAATATTACATGAAAAACACTGACGTACAGCAATCAGTATTTCAGAGGAAGAAACGACAGATTAGAGCATTAAATTATGATTTCATATTCAGTAACGTACTTCAGGAGTTTGATAGTCTGTCCTCTGAAGCACGGCAGCCCCGTGTCCAGCATTAACGTCACCAGAGATACGACAGCATCCATGTACGGCCTGAGACACACACATAGAAGGGTTTTAGAAAGCACAAAAACAGGCATCAAATATATCAAATTAAATTCTAAACAAGCTACTGATAGAAAACCAGCGTTATTATAGTATCAACGAGATGCTATTATAGTTTTTATTTTTATATTTAGAATTATTTTCAAAATCTTACAAAAATATTTAAATATAAAAAAAAAAAACTATAATACAGTATAAATAATATAAATTATATATCTATATTAATATCTATATATATACATTTTTAATTTTAAAAATATAAAAACTAGTAGCATCTCACTGATACTAAATTACACTGGTTTTCTATCTAGTAATTTTGTTGTGATTTTGTCTTTTTTAATGTATAATACAGTTTTTTTCCAAATTAATTTTTAGTTATTTCCGTACATCAAGTTAAACTACATTAAAATGAGAAACGATGCCTTGGCAAGCTGTTGAAAAAAAAATTCTAATCAAGGTTTTCTTTATATTTTATTTTATTTCCATGAATGGTTTCTGTTATTTAAAGGAACGGAAATGTTTTATGGTTTCAGTTTTAGTTCTAATTTGATTTTATAATAATATACTTTTGCAATCGTAAAATATTGGAGTGGTTTGCAGGGGACAGAGTCCGCCCACAGAGGGCAGCCAAAATCCTCCCAAATCCTTCCCAGACACCCTCATGTGTCCTCACGCCTGAACTAATCCATCATCTCGGAGGATGCTGAATTATTGAAGAGCGGCCGTCTCACCTTACAGCAAGGTATCCGCGCACACACATCTCCATGAACCATTTAAAGGGTGTGGCCTCCATCTTGCCGCCCATGATCATCACCATCTCGTCGGTCAGCTTGATGTCGGGCTCCCAGCCCAGTTTTCTTTATATTTTATTTTATTTCCATGAATGGTTTCTGTTATTTAAAGGAACGGAAATGTTTTATGGTTTCAGTTTTAGTTCTAATTTGATTTTATAATAATATACTTTTGCAATCGTAAAATATTGGAGTGGTTTGCAGGGGACAGAGTCCGCCCACAGAGGGCAGCCAAAATCCTCCCAAATCCTTCCCAGACACCCTCATGTGTCCTCACGCCTGAACTAATCCATCATCTTGGAGGATGCTGAATTATTGAAGAGCGGCCGTCTCACCTTACAGCAAGGTATCCGCGCACACACATCTCCATGAACCATTTAAAGGGTGTGGCCTCCATCTTGCCGCCCATGATCATCACCATCTCGTCGGTCAGCTTGATGTCGGGCTCCCAGCCCAGATTACCCCCCGGAGAACTCTCAAACATGAAGCCGAAGTCTACAGGACACAAAAACACATAAAACACAAACAGAAACAGTCATTTCATCCTTTTATAAAAGTGTTTAAAATTTTATGTTAATGTATTTAATATAAAAACATTTTTTTATTTTTTTAAGTGTATTGACAGTTAATTAGAAGTCTGAAGTTAATTTAAAATTAATTTAATTTTTTTTAAATTTAGTTTAATTTGAGTTTTTATTGCAAGAATGGGATAATTAAGGGGTACACGATGAAAATGTTCCTTGTATGATGTACTAGAGACATACTATTAAAAAACATGAATATGTAGTGGTTACCAGGGTTACTGTCATTACCTTAAAATATCAATATTAGATGAAAAACAAACTAAACAAAAATTAGAAATGCTGCCTTGGCAACTAACTGAAATAAGTTTAAGGTAAAGCAAAAAAAAGACAAATTAGATATAAATAAAAGCTAAAACTGTACTAAAACTAAAATAAAAATAAATTAAACCTAAAAAAAAATTATAAAAAAAAAGGAAAAACATGAATAGGCAGAAGCACATAACATAAACTAAAATTAAAATAAAAACTAAAAGTATAAAAATGAAAGCTAATTCAAAATATTAATAAAAACCAAAACAGAATATAAATATATCATTTCTATTATTTTTGTTTTATATTTAGATTTAGCTTTTATTTTATATTTTACATATATTTTATGTTTAAAATAACATTTTACATATCATTTACATATCTTAAATGTACAGTAGCAAAAACAGCCTGTTTGAATAAAATGGTAGAAAAAAGGGATGAAAATAGTCTAAATTATGGTGCAAGAAACCATGACTGATATTATAAGTGGATATAAAATGCTACCAAAGAATGTGGCATCTTTA